GAGGAATAGTGTCCCATCATTGGTGTCAGTGGGAGGAAAAGGGCCACAAGCCACAGTTTGGGGACCACTGGTTAGACCGTCCCCAGTCTTATATATGTCATCTTGTCTACACTTCTAGGTGCTATCTGCCCCCTGGAGGAGATGTGCGATGTGGCACACAAGTATGGAGCGCTGACATTTGTGGATGAGGTACATGCAGTGGGACTGTATGGTGCTCGTGGTGCAGGTGTCGGAGAAAGAGATGGAGTCATGCACAAGATGGACATTATCTCTGGGACATTGGGTAAGCCGAATGAACGCGGCTGCTGGGAAAACATCTTAATGACTGTTTCAGAGTTCGATCATCCACTGTCTTGTTAACATGATAAGTTCACCTTTTGAAGAAGACCCCCCCAGAGCCAAACCTATCAGTACCCCCCTTTGTAAAGCCAGCTACACGATGGTATCTGTGATGTTGGTCTTCGTGCGGCTGATCTTTGAAGAGGGCGGGGAATCCAGTCCCTCCCCTGTCACGGCAGAGAGCTGCGACAGGATCGAGAGGTGAGCGAACGCCGGTATGTGTTCGCTCACCTCCCGATCTACTGAGCCGACCTGTGACAGTCTCATTGTCACAGGTCGGCTAGAACTATGAGGTGAGTGACAAGCACCCCCCTCATAGTTCTCCTTTAAAGGCTCCAACAAAGCTGCTCAAACCTTGCGATGATGCACCAATGCTCGGTGAACGCGCTACTCTTATACAAGCTAGAGCAAGGAGTAGATAAAACCTGCACGGTGATACTGTATACATTGGGCTGTAACCAATCAAGGCCGGTCTTGATGTGACATCATTCTTTCCTTCCATTTGGCAGTGCAAAAGTGACCCCTTCTGTCGCGCGATATCGCCGGTAATGCGCAATACCATTGAGTCTATTGGGGGCCGAATCGCGCGACCTCCGCCGAAAAAAAGGTCATATTCGAGCGACGAGCTACAGGCGACATTGAGCTGTGAATGCTAGTGACGGGCTCGGGCGTGTTCGCAGCTCCACGTGCCGAGCCCGCCAGGAAGCTGGCAGCGCCAATCGCAGGTACGGAGACATGATCCCGGTCCGCAGCTGCAGAGATCCGGCAATGTCTCGGTGCCTGCGATTGGCGCCGTCAGCTTCCTGGCGGGCTCGGCACGTGGAGCTGCGAACGCGCCTGAGCTCGTCTCTAGTGAACAGCTCCATCGGAATTCATTGGACGAGCTACATAGAGCGATTTTTGCGGCGGAAATCGCGCGATAAACCGCTCAGTGTGAACGGGGGGCTAAAAGTGCTCATTGTCTTGGCGCCTCGCTTCTTCTAGGTCATGGAGACCAAGTATTCACGTCAGTAGGTGACTAGCGTTTTAGGAAGGAGGTCTCCCATGGCAGCCTCCATATAACTCTCAACGCAGGCTTCAGGATCTCCTTCATCGCTCTCTAATTTTCAGGGTTTTTATTTTTTTTGCTGAGCTGTAGCTGACGTGTTGGTTGCCATACCCCACTATCTCTGGGTGTGTGCTGGATATCTGCGTCTTCCGCCTTATCTGAGACGGCAGCACAGACTGGGCGTGTTCACACAACGGGACCCAAATCAGCTGTGCTCAACCCCGGCCACCGTATACCTCTATATACCATGCCTGGCTAGGTATGAAGACCCCAGCCACCATATACCTCTATATACCATGCCTGGCTAGGTATGAAGACCCCAGCCACCGTATACCTCTATATACCATGCCTGGCTAGGTATGAAGACCCCAGCCACCGTATACCTATATGAAAACCTTAAAGGAGAAGTATGGGGTTAACACTTTTCCTCATAGTTCTCCTAAAAGTAACAGGAGGACACAAACTAGCGTCCTCCCGTCACCCAAAGCTCAGTATATAGGGAGCTACAGCTCGCGGTATACTGAGACGCCGGAGCGGATCCCGACATTGATGTCTGGATCCGCCCAGCTGCGTGAGTGACTGACTATCTAGAGGCAGAGCCAGCTGTACCCGCCCCCTCCCCCGTCCGTTCCGCCAGTCAGCGCTGGAGGATCGGAGCGGGGAGGGGGGAATCCAGCCCCTCCCCTGTCACGGCAGAGAGCTGTGACGGGATCGAGAGGTGAGCGAGCGCGGGTATGTGTTCGCTCACCTCCCGATCTACTGAGCCGACCTGTGACAGTCTCATTGTCACAGGTCGGCTAGAACTATGAGGTGAGTGAAAAGCCCCTCCCCCTCCCCCCTCATAGTTCTCCTTTAAATCCCAGTTGAAGTTACTCTGACTCTTTTTAGTCCTTTTACTGTCTTCTGTTATAACTTTTAAAGGATATTTGCTGAGCGAAAGCTGGAGGCTGACATTGCTGCCTTCCTATTCTAAGGCCTTGTTCACACCAAGCGCGGAGCAGATCCAGACCGGATCAAAACTGCGTCCAATGTATTCCTATGGTATTTTGACCTCCAGTTCACATCGCAGCGTGCGGATCCAGACCAGATCCAGAGCAGGTGAAAAAACTGCGGCAAGCCCTATTTTACCTGCTCTGGATCTGCTCTGGAACGCATCAAAAACGCATGCAAGTGCCTGAAAGCCCATGTTAAACAAAAAAAAAATATATATATTATTTAAAACCGGTCCGGAACGCATCATCAAAAACGCGTCTAAAACGCATCACAACCCACTGCACTGCGTGTGCAGAGACCTGACCGGATCTGCTCTGCATTTGGTTTGAACAAGGCCTGGCTGTCAGGCTGGTCTAATGTCGCTAGCTCCTCCTGTGTCACTGGCTCAGAACATGATTAAGTCCAAATAGAAGCCGACCGATACAGGTTACAGGTATTTATAGAGCGCCGACAATTTACGCAACACTTGACATAGTCGCACCTTCACATCAGTCCCCGCCCTCAAGGAGCTTACAATCTAAGGTGCCTACCTCACATGCATACATAGAGGAGCCAATTAACCTTCCAGCGTGTCTTTGGAGTGTGGGAAGGAAATCGGAGTACCCGGAGGAAGCCCACGCAAGCACAGGGAGAGCGTGCAAACTGCTTGCAGATAGTGACCTGGCCGGGATTTGAACCAGGGACCCCCCCAGTGCTACAAGGCAGAAGCGCTAACCACTACGCCACAGTGCTGCCCGTAACATGCCTTTGAATATCTGTAAAAAAAAAAGAAGTCGGGGCAACTGGACTTGTTGTGTTTTTCTTGAAGACGTTTCGCTGGTCATCCGACCGGCTTTCTCAAGTGAACCGTCTTCGAGAAAAATACAGCCTCGACTTATTTTTTTATACAGATATACCATGTGACCTGGATGAATGAGAACCTTCACAGACATGCCTTTGAGTAATCGGCGGGTGCTTGAAGTGATTGCTACGGATGGTGCCATCCCCAAAACCAGATGAGAAGGTAGAGTGTCGCCGGCACTCTGAATAAATGCGTTTCATGTATTTATTGTAAGCCCTCGTTCACACACGAATCGGCCGGCACGTGCAGCTCCGTGGGGGGCCGTACCAAGTAGCTGCCGGGGAGGACAGGTGCTGCGTGTGATTAGAACGCAGCCCCCGTCCTCCTCTATGGGGCTACGCGGCCGTACGCCCCCCCTACGCTCACCTCATTTGCAGGTCCGTAGGGGGGCGGCATGTATGCGTCCCGGCCAGAAAACCCGCACCCCTACGGACCTGCAAATGAGGTGAGCGTAGGGGGGGCGTACGGCCGCGTAGCCCCATAGAGGAGGACGGGGGCTGCGTTCTAATCACACGCAGCACCCGTCCTTCCCGGAAGCTACTTGGTACGGCCCCTCACGCAGCACGGAGCAGTACATGCATGCCGATTGTTGTGTGTATGGGGCCTAAATCATCTCTGAATTGGTGCTGGCACTGTCCATCCTTCTGGAGGGTGGGTACTTTTGTTCCCCATGGTCCCTGTGTGTTTTGTAAAGATGCCGCCGCTCCAAGCTCACTCCCATGATGGACCACAATCTC